ATGTTAAAAATGTTTTATGTTGATTGAAAACACATCATGTTGATGAAATTTAATAATTAAAATAGTGTTTTCAATCAACAAAAATTAATTCTTGTGAAAGAGGCTAGCCCTTTGCAATTTAACTAGCCAATATTTGAGTCTTTATTATGAAAGGCGCTTGGCTCCAATAGTAGGATACAATGAGCGATAAAAAAAAGTTGTTTTGAATTATTAATATTAACACCGTCATACATTGTTATATAAGATAAAGTTTTGTTCGGATCATGTCCTTTTTTTTTTTTACAATCATAATTAATTTAATTTCAATATTTTATGACAAAATTACTTATATGCCAAATGAATATTGTTATGGAATTTTATAGTAATTCTTGTTATCCTTCTCTTATCAAGTCTTCGTCAATTAAAGGGAAAGATTTTATCATAAAATGAAATTTTAAGCAAAAACTGCACAAATTAAAATCTAAAAAAATTAAGTTAAATTTTTTTTAATATTATACTATCTCCAACCCAATTTATAACACATTTTAAAAAGAGATTCAACATTTTAAAATATAAATTTTTTTAACAAAAATGAAAATTTATTAATAATACTTACTAAATAAATAATATTTTTAAAAATTTTATTTTTATTTTTAAAAAAATTGTAAAATTTATTTAATAAATTTTATGGATACGCAATTTTGTTTAAAATTTTTTTATAAACTGGGATGAAAATACATAATGGCACCTTTTGTAATAATCGCATACTGCCAGCGGTATTCATGGAGTTGTATGGACTTATCCATTCTAGCGGGAATGAAACGGTCGGACGATTGAGACTCAGTTATGGCGAGCGCTTCATCGCTTTCTTCCACTCTTTTGCTTCAAAACTCTCTTAATTTCCCTCCTCAAACCTCAAGAAGACCACTTGATTCCTCTTTCCTATTCAGCAGCGAAAAGGATTATGTTATCGTGTGTTCTGCAAAGAAGAAAGTCAGCTTCGTCGACCAAATTCTCGATTATATTGAAGGTGGATTTCTTCCGACACACCCCATTTGGGACTAGCCTCGAAAAATTTCACCATTTCTTTTTTATTCTTCACATTTTTCATATTAAGCTGTGATTCTTTGTTCCTTTTCAGGAGGTCCCAAATTAAGAAAATGGTATGGTGCACCTGATCTTCTTCCAAAAGATGGGCCCGCCGCAGAAGATGAAGAGGAATATCTGGGTATAGGACTTATTAATCCATCAATCGTCAATGGTTATATCTGTACAAGTACCTGAAAGTTTTAAGAAATCACACTAAATATACATTCTGGTGGACTAACCTCTAGGAATTATTTATTTCCTCTCAAGTTTTCGTTCTCACACCGTTGTTTGAAAGCAGAAGATGAAGTCAGGGATGCAGTACTTGTGACAGATGGAGATAGTGATATGGGTCAGGTCTGATAAGACTTTCCTCTTCTTAATTCACAAGTTTTACAAGCTTGTAGATCATGTAGAAACTTGGAAGTTTTGATCCAGTCATGTTCATGTTGAAGATTAGAAACTAAGAATCACAAGTGGAAAGAAAGCAACTAGTCTATCTATAGAGGCTATCTATATTCTGCATACAATAATTTGGACTTCATAGGTCTGCACAGCATAACTTTTTTGCAGGCTTGATTGAATTGGGCTACTTGTATTAGTTCATCAAGTAACTTAAAATTCCTTGATTAACCCAATGTGTATAAACTTTTGAAGTATTCTTAGTGTTGTATATGAAATCTTGGTTGGATTACTGAGAATGAGTTGTGAGCCATGTTATATGCTTAAGCAGATGGTGATCTTGTCAATGATTGTGAAAAAAACTCGAGTAAAGGCACTGGTAAAGGATAAGCGTGTTGCACTTGAAGCCTTTGGAAGTTATGTTGAGGTGGATGAAGTCAATTCAAGAAACTACTTATATATTGCATCATGGTTATGTGCTTGTCATTTTCTGGTTATTAATTATGCGATACTTCTTTGTGAAGTCACTGGCCGGGGATACAAGTGACAGGCGATTCCTCAAGAAAGCTTTGAGGGGTGTTCGCACAATTATATGTCCAAATGTATGTATATCTTAGCTCATTTGTGTCATATGAAACCATAGTGCATTTGAATGTCACACACAATGAATGAGAGTAGAGTGTATATGGGACGAACTTCCTCGCTTTTTAAACTGCCCTTTCTTTTCTTTCTAGCTCTTATTTCAGAGGCATTTTGCCTAAATAGGCATTTATAATTTGCTTTCTCAATCAGCTTTTTGGCTATTACAAATCAAGCCAAGTGACTAGACCTAACCTGAAACAAATATAGCAGAAACAACTGAATGGAAAACCACCAAAATCAGAAAGGAAAACAACATCAAAAGTAAGAAACAAGGCCATCACGACTCAGAAATCTCAAATAAATGGGATATATACACATGCCATGAGCATGGCTGACTACGAAAGGAGTAGAAACATCCATACCACTTTGATATAGAGTCACACAATAATCAATAAACTTTTTTTATGTACCTGAATTCATGTTCAGATATCCATGGAAGTAAAAATTCATTTAGGACAGTTGACTCTTCTCAATCTCTTTCCTTTTGAGCATCAAAATATTTGTGCCAGAATAATGGCTGTTTCTGATTGAACTTCTCAACTAAAGCACATATTTTTTGGTAAATAAATAACATATTTTTTACCTCAATTACTTGTTGACATGAATTGCTTGCCTATGTGGATGGATTGATGTAAACTATAGTCATTTAAAGCAACATAGTTTTAACCTCTCTTTTAAATTGAGGGCTTTTTTAAGCGACTTATCTCTTTTTTCCTTTTTTTCTGTTATTGTCAGTTACAGTGATAATGGGACTTATTCTTGATTTTTTTCCCTTTGATTAGTAGCCTTGAAAATTTTTTCTCAGAAAATGTGTGGATATTTTCATTCTTTTTGTCAATAATGATGAGACTAGGACTGGAATTATTTTTCTCAGGAAATACCTGTATGTTTTAATTTCATTCTTTTTTCTCAGTAATGATGAGACTTGACCTGAAAGTAATGATGATTGATGAGACTTGGCCTTAAAACGTATTTCTCAATTCTCAGGGAATGTCTGTATATTCTGATTATTTTCAGGAGGGTTTTCTTTCTAGTGTTGGGAGCCTACAAGGAGTTAGACATATAATCCTGTTATCACAGGTACTTTTATTTTCAATACAAATCTCCTACTGTCATAAAAGAACGCATTTAGTGCACTAACAGGGAGATAGCTCGAATTATGTCACTTTCATACTCTTTTATTTCACATTTTCTTTATAAGACATGAATCAAGCACAATTATACTCTTTTATGTCACTTTCATTCTGAACTCATGAATGCAAAAATGTAGATAATCTACAATGCATTCCTTTCTTGCACGAATTTGTTCTTTCTTATTTTGTTTTAACAAAGATGCAGTTGTCTGTTTATAGAGGTAGAAGCGGAATTCAATCTTTGATGAAAAACAATGCAAGGAAATTGGCTGAGCAGGATGAATCAATATTGGTGAACTCAGGAATCCCTTACACCATAATCAGGGCTGGTCTATTACAAGATACTCCCGGGGGGAAGCGAGGTTTTTCTTTTGAAGAGGTACAGACATTGACATATCTTCTATAATGCAGCGAGAAATTTGAAACAAAAGGTTTCGTTCAAGTGACAATCATTCTCTCTTTTTGGGTGGCTTATGAAAAATTAGTATAATTCATTCATTTTTTTTAATTGAAAAACTTCTCAACAAACACTTAACTGTATTTTCTAATCGTTTTTAACGTCTTAATCGAGAACTGATTGACTTGAGGTTCATGAGGACAGGGTTGTGCAGCAAGACGGAGTCTGAGCAAAGAAGATGCGGCATTTGTGTGTGGAAGCCTTGGAATGTGTGCCCCAATCTGGATTCATATTTGAGGTTGTCAATGGAGAAAACAAGGTTTCGGATTGGAAAGAATGTTTGACTTCATTAATGGAAAAAGCAAATCAGCAACTTCAATGACCTCAACAAACAGTTGTATCTCTAATTTTTCTAGTGGATGTGATTGTCGAAGTCATTTGAGAAAGGGAAAGGTTTTCCTCTTGCTTGCTTCTTCTTGTTGTTAGAGAAGAATACCATGTTATAATGAAAATATTCTCTTCCTTGTTGGTTTTAGACGAAAATTTAATGAACTTGGAGCTATGCAAACATTGCACTTTTTGTCAGTCTAAATCTAATAAAAAAGATTCTAGATTTGATTTTGCCACCTTACTTTCCCGCAAGTAGCTTCTCAAATTTTGTTCGATCAAAATTATGATAGAGAATTAAAGGGAAATTGATATAATAAGATCAAATATTACAGTTAATTCTAGTTAAAAGGCCACCAACAGATGTTGAGTCTTGCAAAATAATTTAGTCATTCATAACACATCAAATTAAGATTTGAATTTTTATTAATAGAGGTGCTTGTATTTAATAACTGATCATGTCTCAAACATAATTATTTTCAATAAGAAGACACATGCGCACAGTAAAAAAAAAGGAGAATTAAAGAGGTATAATTATGGGCAGAAGATCATGATTAGAAAAAAGAGTTGATAGTGAAAAATAAAGAGATGAAGAGAAACTAACAGGGATTGTCTCACAGAAAGCATTAATCCCTTATAATGTGATGAATCAAGATTCAAAACTCTATTGACGGAAATTCTTACATTTAACGCTCCATGTAAATTACATCATAGCTCACTCAAAAAAGAGAGATGAAGAGTAGAATCATCATAACAAGCTCCCTATATTCTATTTCTTTCACACTCATAATTAACGGAAAATAATAAGGTCGTAACTCTTTCCTTTTCTTTAAAAAATGCTTTTTTTTTTTTTTAAATAATGATCTTGTTGGAGAATGATAAACACAAGATGTGAGACCCAAAGCAAGGAAAGGGGGGGGGGGGTTGGCAGAAGTACGTGGAACTTGCACTCTAATAATCCTAACTCTAACCAATAGGCGAAGTCCGAAAGATTTCAGTCGAAAAGTGTTTGTGAAACCAAACATGTTCTAACATAGCTCTAAATAATCTTCTTTTGGGAGATTACAAGATTTAAATAAAGATTTTCTGTCATTCTATCTCCTGAAGTCTTAACGTAATGCAAAAGTGTAGTAGTTACACAGTCTCATGATCCCCTGAACCAGATCCTATCCATCACCAGAATATGCTTCCCTGCTTTACATGAAAGCTCAGATTCAAATTGTCAGCTGATTCTAGTTCTCTTTTGGCTTACTTTTCCATCAGACTTCAGAGTCCCACTGGAATCCCCTTCAGATGAAGCTTCTTGAGACTTGATACAAGAACTGGAAAGATCAGCATAGAGATCAACCACCCTTCTGATATTGTTGTTCAGCTCTCTGATCAATCCCACATTTCTACTCAGGTTATGTGGCATCTTTGACGAGTGATTTTGATTAATCTCATTGATTAACAACCTGTTTTGATCCAAAATGTCCTGGGCTTCAAGCAAGTTCTTCTGAAATGCCTGAATGATTCTGCTATCTACTTGTAGTGCTGGAGTACTCACGTCTCCAAATATATCACCTTCCATTCCAATTACAATTTAGGGTTCAATCATCAAACGGTTCTGCAGAGAAAAGGGAACAGAGATATAAGATTCCTTGCTATAATTGCAGAGAGAAAAGTTTTTGAAATTGGACCCATCTGAGAACAGGTTTTTTTGCTCCGGAAACATCATCAATCATACAACATACATTATTTTAGGAATATTCTTTGGTAGGCATCATGGATATACTTTTTCAGTGAGATCTAGTATAACTTCCACTATTTTTGGTAGGTCGTCGGATTAACCTCAATCTTGTATCACTCCTATCAAACGAAGGGAAGTAAGGGTCTGCATAGATTTGATTACCCCTTTAGATCACACTTTTTTAAAGGAGCTAATTTAAAGATTCAGTTTATCAAAATAAAGACACGACAGAACAACTTTTTTAAGAGTAGCAGGAATTACCAGAAACCCGACAGAGAAAATGTTGTTGTCGAACAAGCTATGACAACCCACAAAGGTGAGGTAAAACAACTTACGTTCTTTTCTCAGAAAATAGAGGCTTAATTCTTCAACCGAAGTATCTATGTGAATTTGCAAGAGATAAAATGCATCGGGAAAGTGCAAAACATGAAATTATAACGCGTATCAGGAAAAACCATCAATCCAGAAGGCTCAAAAGCGATGGAAAGAAGAAAGAAGGAATCTTTGAATCCACCGTTACTTTAGCTGGCGAAGATTGCCTTGATCACACGAAGCAATGAAGCATCCCAGCTGTAGCTTGTAGGCCTTTACTTCAGAGAAGGTTTTATTATTATTATTTTTTTTTTGGGGGCGGCCGGGGGAGGGGGGAGAGGAATTTATGAGAGAGAGAAATTTCCCGAGAAAGCAAGGGCAAGAATCGAACATGCGACCAGAAATCGTGTGAAAGGTAATATCAGAATAAAAATGGGAATTTTAAGGAAGACAAGCCTCTATCTCTCATTCTCACTCAGTCTTGTTATAAGTTTGGAATCTTGGGTATGCTTCACCTGCAGGTTTCCGTTCAGAGACTGAGATTGTGACCAAGGCTTGACCGCAAGGCCGTGTGAACCTGAACACCAGCCAGATGCGGTGGGACTTGAAGGAGGCCGAGAAAGACGAAAAATTGGCATTAGAAAATGATCATATGAATTAGATCTGGGCCCAGTTTGGGGCCTTGGTTTGGGCTCATCATTTCATTTATCATATCACTATCTTTTGTATTTTTGGAGAACTTCATTCAGGTTCCACAGTTGAAGGTTTTTCACCTTGCAATCCAAAAGAATTTTGTGGAGGTTGGGATGCTTCTTTATGTTATACTAGTCGAGAACACATACTATGTGCAGATTTTATGGTGAAGGGAGCTTATCAAGATAGTTCTGATTCGTTCTTGATCTCGAATGTCCCTGCTGGATGTTTGAACAGGGTTCTTGAAGACCAGAGGAATGCTTAGTAATAGTTTGTTTTACTGTTATGCAAAGATCTCTAGTTTGTAACTTTTAGTTTCTACAAGTTTTGACTCGCCTTTGTAACTCCAAAAACAAAAAACGATTTTTGAAATTTCACTGTACATAACTGAAAATAACTCAAGTTTTAATGGCCATTTACATAAATACCAAGAGAGAAAATAATCAAATATACAAATATATTACTGCCAAGATCCAAAGCACAAAACATCCTAAGTTCTGAATCATTTTGGCTAGAAAAAGGGACACTAATTTTGGGTCATTAGGTGAGAACATTATATTATTTATATTATAATCAACATTAATATATTTAGTTATAATCAATATCAATATTTATATTATTTTAATTATAAAAATGAGAAAATTAAATCATCTAATCTCTATAGCTTTGATTAGATCGTGACTCAATCTCTTCAAAACTATTCTTTCTCTAGTAATAGAGACAACACTCTTCTAACATTGACAGTCCGATTCATGGCATCGCAAGTTTTTCCTTGTTATCTGTCTTTCAGCACAGTAACAACAAACTCAATCTTCCATTTTTAGGATATGTGCACGTAGCCACCTTCAACAGATCTCGGCACCATGGCACAAGGTTACTGTAGAGGTTCTCACTTGCATTCTACAGGAGATTCTATATATATTATATAATTATTTGATTGAGTCAGATTAAAACACTGCAGGAATTCCTTGTTGAAGTTATTGGGCCCTCATGTGATGTGTTTTAGTGTTTGTGTCATCATGGTTGTTGGATGGCCTGTAACGTAAAGCCCAAGTTGTTGCGATACTGTTATTCAAATTGGGCTTTCACTTACTTTGTTTTTTTTTTTATTTTGTTTAGTGTCGTTTACCTTTTTCTTAGTCTGCTCATGTAATTTGTCTTTTCTTTTTGGCCAATGGGATGTAATTTGTCTTTTCATCTCAATGAATTTGATCCTTTTATGAAAAAGAAATTTATATTCTGTAAATTTGTGACCATGTTTGTTGTTACAAAAAATTATTAACAATCAAATTTTTGGTAGTAACTTTTTGATGATGAAAAGTCACCGTTAAAAACCTGTAACAGTGACTTTCGAATTCTTAGCAGCGATTAACTCAATTTTTTTTAAAAAGAATCATCTCATGTCAAGTCTATGTCTTCTAACACCACATCAACTGACATATTGTGTCACACCACCTTGCCATATGGGCACCTTTTCATGCCATGTTACCTCACCATGTGTGTTCCATCTCATGCCACATCACTTGACACCTCGTGTCACATCACCACCACGCGCTATGTCATATATTTATTATAAAATGTGCTCATGTTAGGATTTGAGCTCTTGATTTTCACTTCCTAAACTTTAAGTCCTCATTTATTGTCAATTGAATTAAAATGCACATGTAGTTATTATATGCAAAATTAAATATATATTATTCAACTATATACACATATATCAAATAATATATTACTACATATACATACAGACATACATACATACATTATATTATATTTTCATTTATTAATATGGTGAAATAATTTATATGAGTATGTATATATATATATATATTATATTTTTAATACAATATTATTTTTGCAGCAATGAATATTATTTTTATTTGGAAAATGAGCTTAAAATGAAATAATTTTTAAATATTAAATAATTTTCTTATAAACACTTTAACCAATTTTTAAATTTTATTTTTATTTTTAAATAAAAATAATTAAGTATGTAATTTATTTATAAGTATGTATTATATTAGTTTAGGTTAAATTTTTTTTACTCTTTTTTTCCACATTTTCTCAAAAATTAATAAATAAATTATTAAAATTTTATATTCTTTCAAGTTAAATGCTTCCGCTTCTTTTATTAAAATAAATTTTATCTATAATTTTTTAATTATCTTAAAAATTATTTTAATAAAAAATTTATTTTGACCATATAAATTTTGTTAATAGTCATTTCAAATGATTATTTTTCATTATCTTTTAGATAGAAAATTGGTGGATATGTGATAAATTAAAAGTAGATGCAAAACAACAAAAAGTACTTTTCAATCAAATGTTTCATCTTCAAGCTTTGGAAGTACAGTAGCATTAGAGGTAAAACTTTTCTTTGAAAGAATCTTATCTTGACTCAATCTAAATTATTTTGGACTTTCACTAAAGTCTTTTTAATCAAGTCAATCCCAAGATAATATGGGATACTTACTAATAACTGTAGAATTTAAAATAAACAAACTTTAATAAGTTTATACATAATTTCATCCATAGTTCAAATATTAACATAAATTCAACAAAGGTTAAGGGTCATTTTTTTCCCTAAACTATATATAAAAGATCACAAATACCTCTAAGCAAAAACATAACTTTAAGTTCTTGTACTTTGCTCGCATTTTATTGTTAGTCCTTATAATTTTTTTTCATTGTTTTTGGTCTATTTATTTTTGTTTCTTATTGTCTTAGGTCACTCCAAGATCCCTATACTTTATTCATTAAAGGACCTAAAACAATAAAAAATAAAGTACAGGGACCAAAAAAATTGCAAAAAAGTATAAGGATTAATAACAAAACGCGAGCAAAGCATAGGGACCTAAAGTTATGTTTTCTTACTTCTAAATTCAATTATAAGTCAATTATATCTTTTACCTTTAAAGATTTCCTTTGTCATCACCTTAAATTAAAAATACTTAACGTCTGTTAGTCATCAGTACAGGGATAGAATTAATCCATAGTTAAATTTAGAGGCATTTGTGACATTTTATGTATAGTTGAGGGACAAAAATGACATTTAACCCATTAAATAATCAAGTTTACATTTTTCATCCAATAACAATCCCAACAAATTTAACATTAACAAATTAAGCAATTTGAGTAATTTGAAGAATAAGAATTGGATGAAGAAAATAAAAAATAGACTACTTGGAAGCTTGATGGTAGAACACCAAAAAAATACGAAAGCTTGATACTAATTTTAAAAGCCATCACCAAAGGTCTACTTTTGGTATATTTTTTTAAATTTTAAATTATTTTTTATAATACTTTTTGTTGCCACTAAAAATCATTTTTTATGGCAACTTTTAAAAGTCATCGTCAAAGGTCCACTTTTAGTATATTTTTTAAATTTTAAATTATTTTTTTTGAAATACTTTTGGTAGTGATAAAATATCACTACTAAAAGTTATTTTTGGTAGCAACTTTTAAAAGTCATCTAAAGGTTAATGGCGACTATATTTTATAAATTACTGCCAAAAGTGGACTTTTGGTGATAACTTTTTTTTATCGCTACTAAAAATCATTGTCAAAAATCCTTTTTTTTTGTGGTAGTGTTTGGCTCCAACTTTTGTATTTTGTCTAAAAAGATAAAGGTCTTACGGTTATATATAGCATCCTTCTCTTGCCATGACTCTATTTAGAGAGATTTATAAGTTTTGTTGAGAAGGCAATGACTAGCATTCCTTCTGCCAAAAGCTCTTTTCTTTTAATTAGTAGGTCTTTTTTAAGCTTGAGCTGTGTTATTGAGTCCAAAATTCACAACCCTTCAATTAATGCTTGAGGTGCTTAATCCTTTAAAAAGCTGAATTAGGGCTTGCATTTGCATGATATTTTAATATGCATTTATATTGATTTTTATGAGTTTGGAAGGCTTTGCAATACAGAAGGAGGGAGGGTGAGAGAGTAACTTCACAACCCAACTTTGGCCCTCACTGAAATCTGAAGCTGGTTTCGCCCTGGTATGACAAGTTTACTTATCATGCATTTCAATTTTGATCAAGGCCTCATGTTAAAGAGATAGATTATGTAAATTGAATTTTGTTAACAAATTAAATTTTTTGGTGAATGGACAAGTAAACATTATTAAAATTACAATAAAATTTGTGTTTTCAACAAGTGGAGGATGACAATTTTTTTTTATTAGCGAAAATTATTTTGGTTTCAATATTGTCACTTCTCTGTTCTCCTTTACTAAAATTTTCCTTTTCATTTAGTTGTTGATAAAGGAAAGAAGATATATATAGAGAGAGAGAGAGAGAGAGAGAGAGAGAGAGCATAGAAGTTATGCTCTGCATAGTAGCAGAAGCATGAAATTGAGTTTAGAAAAGTGAAGGTGATGCATCTTCAAGGTTTTAGCTGTTGCGGCTGGTTTTCTCTCTCTTAGATTTGAGCCTAAGATATTTCTGATGAACTCTGACGTTAAGGACTAATGTAAGCAACCTCTGGACCGGCCGGCGGACACATTACATCCGGGAAATGGTAAAAAAAATAGATCCATTCTGCACCGCTGAATTAATCTCACTCTGATGATTGCACAATGGATGAACATATGGCAAGTGAGGAAGAAACTACACTGAGTGAACAACAATCTGATCAAGACAAAAAAATAAATATGAAATTGTTATATATATATATATTGAAATATTTATTGTTAAAAAAATATAAAATCCTTTATTTTTATTAAAAATAAAAAATATAATCGAATGATACCGGTATTATATAATTAAATTTATAAATGAATGATGCATTTTTTATATTCCATTCTTCATATAAAATTATCCAAGAGAAAAGATTATGGAGTGTAAAAAAAAAATAAAGAGAAAATATCATTCGGGAACACCAAGCATTCAAGCACTAGATCTCCAAGGTATTAGCACTTAGCTGACGGCAAACAGCAAAT